ATTTGTGGCACTCAATACTTCTCCCCCTTTTCACCTTTCCCCCTTTCCCCTTTCCCTTTCCCTCCGGAAGTGGACAACACTTAGTCCCATTTTCCCTTCAGCAGGGGACGGCACTTGGTCCCACTTCCCCTACCGGCGGCAGGGGAAGGCTCTTAGTTGCCCCTTCCCTTTCCCTCTGGCAAGGGGATGGCACTTAGTATAGCCTAGGGTAGGGCAGGGTATAGCCTAGGGTAGGGAAGGGTATAGCCTGGTAGGGAAGGGTATAGCCTGGTAGGGTAGGGTATAGCCTTAGGTAGGGAAGGGTATAGCCTAGGAAAGGGGTAGGGTATAGCCTTAGGTAGGGAAAGGTATCGCCTAGTCCAACAAACCCAGCCAAAAAAACGCGACAAGCGCAATCAACTAGGTAGGGAAGGGTATAGCCTAGGGTAAGGTATACCCCAGGGAAGGGTCTAGCCTAGGGTAGGGAGTACCCTAGGGGATCGGGCTTAGTATAGCCTAGGGTAGGGAAAGGTATAGCCTGGGGTAGGGAAAGTTATAGCCTAGGGTAGGGAAGGGTATGGACGGGGGTAGGGTATGCCCTAAGGAAGGGTCTAGCCTAGGGTGCGGTGTAGCCTAGGAAAGGGTATAGCCTAGAGTAGGAAAGAAAGGGTATACCGTAGGAAAGGGTGTAGGGTATAGCCTTAGGTAGGGAAGGGTTTAGCCTAGCCTCACAAAAAAAAAAAAAAAAGGCGACAAAAAGCAATCGACTGGACCTAAGAAAAGATGTACCACCGCTGTTGGGGCGGGGGGCAACATGAAATCCCTTTCATTGTGAAGTCGCTATGCTTGCAGGGTTCTCCCCTCTATATAGCCTTCGGAGTAGTGGTAGGTAGGTAGGTAGTGAAAGGCGAAAATAGAGTTCGAGAGCAGAATATTTTGTAGTTTTTCAGTTTTAAAAATAAAATAAATAAATGGACCACCATTGGAACAACAAGAGAAACCCCCAGACACCACCCCATCGGCTTCGGAGAATTGGCCCGAATAGGAAAGAAGATGGCGAAGGAGAGGGAGAAGGAGGGCGTAGAGGGAGGAAGGGAGGAGAAAAAGGAGGAGGTAGAGGGAGGGAGGAGAAGCAAAGTGCTATACGGGCTAAAGCACGGAGCAGCCGCAGACCATTTATCTGTTGCTGACTGGGTTGCAAGGGGTAATTAATTAATTAAAAATTAATATACCGTTGATTAACCGGCGGCTGGTGAGGCTGGATAATTTACTTACTGGCTCGTTAGTTGATTGATTGCCTGATTGGTGATTAGCTGACTCTTTAATCAATTGGATGATCGACACATTGAACAATAAATAGGGGTGATTGGCCTACTCGTTGACTGGTTGATTGATTGATTCAATACTTGATGGGCTAATTCATTCATGATTTGATGATCCACCTACTGATTGATCGGCTGATCGTTCATTGATGATTTACAGACTGGTTCAATGATTGGTTGAATACTTGATTGGCTAATTGATTCATGATTTGATTGATTGATTGATTGATTGATTGATTGATTGATATTGCTTGCTTGCTTGATTGATTGATATTGCTTCATTGATTGATATTACTTCATTGGTTGATACTGATTGATTGATTGATTGATACTGATTGATTGATATTGCTTCATTGATTGATATTACTTCATTGGTTGATACTGATTGATTGATTGATACTGATTGATTGATTGATTGATTATTTGATTGATTGATTATTTGATTGATTGATCGATCCTTCCACCCATTGATTGATCGGCTGATTCATTATTTCGTTGGCTAACTAATTGGTTAATTGATTGATTGATTGATCGATTGATTGATTGATTGATTGATATTTCCCCCTATTGATGATTGATCGGCTAATTGATTACTTCGTCGGTTAAATAATTGCGATCCTGACGCTTCCTCCAATCCTATAGCTGATCTCATTTACCCTAAGTAGCACGATGCCAAGCATTTTTCGGCAGCGAGTCGTGCTTTCACAGGTTCTCGTGCCCGATCGGGAGAGCGAACAAAAAAATAGAGAAGAAGAAAACAATCTTATTAATTAACTAATTAATACTGTAATTTGAGAACCGCTTCCTGCGCTGTCCGCTATGGTCTCGATGCCTCATGGATTTCCACAACCAGGGGTGCAGCGACCGGTAGTCGACATGACGACAACTCGTCTTCAGGCGGATTCAGCCCCTTTTCTTCTTTTCTTCTCTTTTTTCTTTTTTTGGGGAAACTACTTGGGAGTCACAAAAACGAGTTTGAAAATACAATTTGGGCGAAAAAAAAGGAGTCGAAAAAATTGCAATTCGGGCAATGTATACAAGCTAGCTTTCCGGTCAGGTAGGGTTGCGTGGGGGGGTGTTACAGTATGTTTGGGGAAACGCCTGAATTAAAATTGCAAACTGTTGTTGTGACACTACTGAAGTTAACACCACCTTCTTTTTTCTTTTCCTTTGTTCTAATGCCAGATCAGGTTATTAGT